GTGGAAGTAGGTAGAGGGATGTGCTCTGAACCAGTGTGGCCAAGAGACGTACGTTCACGGTGCATTCATCTGATTCAATTCCTGCCAAAGGCTTTTGTTATTTGAGAACATGATGACTAACCCAACAGAAAGGAAGGTGAGTATGCAAACAGGAAAAACTGATGATGAATTGACAATCCATGTATTTATCCATCCATTTAAAGGAATTTGCTGAGCGCCTGCCTGGCTGCACTAGAAGCTCAGGGCCTGAAGATGAACATGCGGAAGCTATGTGCAGGGGCGTGAGCTACAGCTGGAATTAGAGATAAAGGAAAAGGCACCTGAGCCCTGTGACGGGCAGGGGGGTCAGGGGAGGTGGGACACATGTGGCCTCGTGGCCAGAGCCCCGCCTGTCTCCCAGGACATTCTGAATATGGGGGAGAGACTGCGCCTTGGACAATCACTGCGAGTCCTGACCCTTACTAGAAAAGTCACTGGCAGCGTTGTTTCCAGGCGTAGGTTAGGAACACCGTGCTCTCTCATAGGCCGTACGTTGCAACTCTGATATGAAAACGTCTTCTATCTCCTTCAACTGTGGCAACAGCACAGGTGAAAGACGGGCGCTGAACCTGGGGGAAGCATGTGTGCGTGGGTTATGGCCCTATTTACAGATCAGTCTTGATCGCTCTGCAGATGTGCTGGGGCTCTGTGGAGCCATGGAGGCGAGGACACAGGTGGCCCTGCTCTGGGAGGTTCCTTCCTAACTGAGGTTCCCCGATGGCTTCCTGCACAGGAAGGACCCAACGCTGGCGGGACAGGCCAGGAGCCCAGATCAGCCTCGGAAAGCTCGGGCTCCAACCAGAGCTCAATTTGGAAATTAAAAAACAAACCTTGACTTTGTGTTGGTTTTTATTCTTCCACTTGAAAAGTTATTTGAAGTGTCACGTGAGATCCTGGAGAGGACTGAAATGGCACCACCACTGAGGGCTGGTCCTAGGTTCATGTTTATCCTGGTTATAAATTGTCTTTTTATGAAGTTGAAAGCCATGTTGAAATTAGGTCATTTTAAAAGAATTTATTAAAAGGTATTGAAAATGCAGGGCCATGGAGGAAGTAAATGATTCTTTGCCTGGGAGATTTAGAACGGATTTATTTAATTCTGGTAATGGGCTTTGTGACCACGGCTGTCTTCTGTCTCCGGCTGGTGAGCTCTTTAGCGGGGCATCCTTCGCGTCCAGCCAGGAGAAAAGCAGTCGTGTCCCGTGCGCAGGGTGCAGGCATTTGGGTGGAAGGTTCTTGCCCTCATGCTTACTCCTCAAGCATGAGGTTCAAGACCCACCTCTGCCTTGTCTATTTTACAGATCCAGAGTCCAAGAAAGCCAAGAGTCATCGACGTGTCCTGGCCTGTAATGGGCTGGGTCCCTTTGTTTTCTCACCAGAGGGTTTCAGGGTCCAGACGCGGGGCCTAGATTCTAAGGCCCGCATGCTAAGCCTTCAGCAGATACCTCCTTCATCCAGTGAAGACGAGCACATCCAGCCTGGTATTTCAAAGCTGGCTTCATAATGCTGATCTCTCATTTCCATCTTCAGGATATTTCTTACAAAGTGTTTTTTTTCATCTTGTTGGGTTTGCAGAGGATGCCCTGTGGAGGTGCAGCTGAAGGTGGGGGGCAAGGGAAGCCAGACTGAATCCCGCCTGCTGCCCCAGGCCCACCCTCCTACCTGCCTGGGTTTCCACGGTATTTATTTAATGGGTTGCTTTCTCGTGGTGATGAAAAATCATCCCCCTATGGGAATCCTGAGTTCCAGTCATGAAAATCGCCAAGGTGACCATGGAAAGGAGGCCAGCAGGCATGCTCTGCCTCTTGGGGAGAATGCCAGGTCCCAGGCCACTCCCATCCCAGAGGGAGCAGCAGCGACCACCCTGGACCTGGACACAGCCAGCCAGGGCCACGGCCTCAGGCCACGGCCACGACCACGCAGAGCTCACAGACGCACCCCAGCCTGCAGACCTGGGGGCCCTCCCCAGCCTGTTTCTCTGCCCTTTCTTTATCTCCAATTATAAAGCAGTGCCAGGTTTTCTTGTCAGCCTTTGCCATGTCTCCAAATGGCTTTTCGGTGTCAGGCCCATCAGGAAATTAACTCATCATGCCGTGACAGCTGCTAATTTTTTCCCCTTACATGTCAGATGGATCGCCTGCTGAAGCTAATAATGAATCACCCATCCCTGATTAGAAGGTGCTTCCGAAACGTATAACTGCCATCCGAGAGAACTTTTTTCTTCATGTAAAATGATATCACCCTAGAGGAGTAGAAAACGAATTGTATTCTTCAACAAGATGGAACAGGAGGAGGTTGCTTAAGTGAGCTGTGTGCTCTCTTAAATTATGGGCTAATATTAAACAGTAAAAGAAGTGAAAACTTACAGCTTTTTTAGTTTGCTAAATGAATGACCTTTCTTGTTCCCTAATTCTCTTACTAGAACCAGCTCTGGGTTAGAAATTCAAGCTGGTTCGTGGATGCTTTCCTTATGCCATCATTTCATCTTTTGTTCAGGAAAAAGAAGTTTGGTAGGACTGCACAAATGCCACGCGGGGAGCAGCCCCTTGCTTCTTATAGCGGAGGTGGGCGGGGGTTGCCTGGCCCTGCGGAGGCCTCGCTGTGCCCCACGAGGGGATCGGGTAGAGACGACCGGGACTTGGGTAGAGATGACCAGGATTCCTCCCTGACCAACTCCTAGGACTTTTGACGAGCTTTGGTTGACTGAACTTTCCCATCTGTGCATTTCCTTGCAAAATCTAGTTTCAGCAAGAACCTTGCCAAATCGGTTCAGCCAGAAATCCTGGCGAGAACCCTAACCTTCACCCTCCATGTCTGCTCACCCTTGAGATCTAACCAGGTTCCTCATCCTATCACGCCCCCTCCACCTCAGGTGGAATCTGATGGCCCTGGCCTGGCTTCAGCAAGAATCCAGTCCGGTGGGTTTGGGCAGAATCCCCTTCCCCCGTGCGACCTTTTTGTCATCTTCCATCCACCAGTGCCTGCCCCTACAGCTTCTTGGCTGTAAACCTTCGCTTGCTACTGTATTCAGAACCGAGTCCAGTTCTGTGCCCAGGTCTTTTCCCCACTGCCATTTTCCTGAATAAAATCTGGGTTTTACCTTTGCAACTACTGTCCAGCTCTGGTTTTTCTGTGATACTCTGGGGTCCCATTTCGGAACAGAGCTTATAAATGGCAGTGGGGCTTCCAGCGCCGCCCTGACAGAACTTTGTAAATGGCAGTGGAGCTTCCAGTGCTGCACTGACAGAACCTGGGCACATTCACCTGGTTCTTCAAAGCAAACCATGTAGTGAAAAGGATCCCCGTATCAGGTGATGCGAGCTTGCCTGCTTATTCCACGGTGCATGGGACATATTTCAGGAGAGCATCTTCCCTGTTCCTTCCACGTCAACTGCTTGGTAGGCCTGGGGCATCCCAGAATGATATATGTTTGAGTCTGTTTCATGAACGTGACCTCACGTGGCTACAACTTCCTTTGTATGGAAACTGCTCTCTTGCTTTGTTCCTCTCCAGCATATACAGAGAGCACTGCTCAACTTCTGCCATGGAAGCTGAGGTATGAACCATTTCTATCTGCTGCCTTGGGCGGTCTGGTCTTCCTTGCATGCCAGACGTCCTTGAGGCTCCGTCATCTAATTGGCTGCAGCTTAATACCAAAGTGGCCTTTCTGGATTAGTCTCCAAGTAAATATTTCATTTGCCTTTTTTTTTTTTTTTTTTAAAGAAACTTTAAAGTTCTGTCATATTCTCTGGCAAAAATCACAAGGAAAGTTATAAGCTTCTTGTCTTTTTTATAGACAATCCACGCCACAGTGAATGTCCCTTGCTCACAAAACCTGCTATGCCTCATTATTCTGAGGCACACATTTATGTATGTGCTTCTTAAACCCCCTTACATTCCAATAGTTGTGTAATGAGAGAGAAAAGAGAGGTAACATTAACCTAGCTCTATGGGTAATTACAGGATACAATGGCTTAGTGAAGCCTCCACAATCCTTCTGAGCCTAGAAACACCTTCTGTACAATTTTTTTTTATGCAAAGGCCTGCTCTTTTCATTGTGCATACAACGTGATTGCTGGTTTGACACTGCAGGCTACACTGGTTTTATGAAGGATTAAATGCCACCTGAGACATATTTATCCTAAATAAATCACCAACGGTAAACTGCAGCATGTCAGTGTCAACACCCTGGACTGCAGCAGAAAGGTTAGCCATACAGGACTACGCACGGTTAGGAATTAGCATCCGAGCCGAGGACCGTGGGCTACCGCTAACGGGAGGAGTGATCAAGAAGAAATATTTCCACTGAAAAACATCCCCCCCCCCCTTTTTTTTTTTTAACATGTATGAGAAGCCTGGCGAGGGCCATCACTTTGTAAAGGTCACCTTGATCCTGTCACTGTTTGCTGAAGACAGTGTTTAAGAAGCCCTGAATAGCCCTGCCATTGTTAAGAAACATGAGGAGGTCATACTCAGCTAATTATGGATCTCAGTGTCAGCCTTGAAATTTTACCTTCAGTTCTCATTTTTTTGGAGGGTGGCTGTCTAAAGGGAGGTGGCCCTAGAGTGGACAGAGCTCAGCCATGAGAAGCGTGCTAGGAAGAGGCCGGTTCCGCTTCTGAACTGGGCAAAGCGTGAGCTGGTCCCCATGCTCTCTCAGGAAAAGATTTTAAACGGCGCTTGTATTTAAACAAAGAAGGTACCATTCTCCTTTCCTCTCATGTCTGCTCTTCTCAATTTCTAGATGCTATCCATGATAGAATATGTTATTGTCACCAGAATGCATCTGGGCCATTTGCCAGACGCTGAGAAACAGTATCGGGCTGCAGGGGACGCGCGGCAGCGCTCCACGGCGTCTGGAGGCCACGAAGGAGGGAGAAGCCAGCAGCCGCGAGCGCCGGGGTGCCCCTCAGTTGCCACAGCTGCCCACCACTGGCTGCTGAAAAGAACATGCCATAATGATCTTTTAATGCTATAATTTTATTTCAAAGAAAACAGAAACAGAACAAAAACAACCTTTGCATTTGAGGGAGGAGATTATTTTACAGTTTTGGAAAAGAATAAGAGCAATTGTATCACGAAACAAATGACTGCGACAGAAACTCGCATCCGACAGTTGCAGTGAATCCACAAGGAAACACAGACCATGCTGGCGGCCACGGCAGGGCCACAGGGCACAGTCTCCATGTGTTAATGTTTCATGTCAGCATTTTCAAATTGACAGAAATCACGAAGAAATCCTGCAAAAATGTATCAATATGAACAAACTCTTGTTATAAAAAGCAAAATATTGATACAAACAATATCTTCCAGAGTGCGCATTTCACATATAAGCTTTATTGTATGAAACTAAGTCAAAATTAGAAGCACTGGCTATCTTCACCAACATACATTTTAACTGAATATAAACTTCAAGGCTTTTCTTAACCATAGGCTTAAGAGGATTTCTTTTATGCAGAATGTGACCAGAGCAACGAAGACACCTAAACTCTTTGAAGATGGGAAATTTATACATGAAATGAGCTAGCAGGCTTCCTTTGGTCTGGGGACACTGTTATTGTAAAATTAAAAAAAAAAAAAAATGAATGGACGTAGAATGCTCCAAGACAGTAACACTTGTAGCTGCAGTTTTTAGCCCAGTAGAGAATGAAATGTAAAGGCAGCTACATGCTGACTGCACGAGCAGGCGCACCCCAAGCCACGAGGGGGATCTTCACCACTTTCCCCACGGCCATGACCTGATAACTGAAACGGAAAACACCTGTGAGAGAAAAACCCACCGACAACACTGGGCTTCTCTTCAGCACAACGTTGGGCCGGGACAAAGGGGGCGGCCACTGACTGAAGGTCCCCAGTGGACCAGAGCTCCCTGTGCGGCCTGCGCCCGGCCCTCCCACGCGCCCGGCAGCCTGCTCCCCGAGGCCCCGTCCACGGTTCCCTCTGTGGGCGCCTGGCTAGTGGCCAGTGTGACTCTCGCTGGCAGTGCACGCTCAGGGCTCATGGGAGCCTCGTCCTCACGGTTTTGAAGGTTTCAGATGAATCTCAGGGAACACAGCCCCCCACCGAAGCTGGACCTGCCCAACCTGCTCTGCGCTGAGTAAAGGTGCCACGCGTCTCACGCTTCCTGGAGTTCGCTGCTTTCTCTTTGGCTCTGAATCGCTGCTGCGGCCGGGGAGCCCTCCTGGGTGTAGATGACCACGCTGGCCAGCTGCTCTGCCCTGCTTGGGGCCCCGGCCTCCGTGCCCAGCGTGGCCCCGGCCTGCAGGAGTTCCTGCGAGTCTGCAGTCTCCAGCACAGTGTGGGAGTACAGGCCCGGCTCGTCCTGCACCCCTGGGGGCAGCTCTGTCACGATGTAGTGCGTGGCGCCCTCGGAGAAGCCGCCACTGGACTCCTGCACCATGGCCTGGACCAGCTCCTCCGTCACGATGATCTGCGAGATCTCCCCGTCCGACTCCACCAGATCCATGTGCTCGCCCTGAGCCTCCTGCATGATGATCTGGGCACCCTCCCCGGCCACCATGTGGACGGCACCCTCCTCGCTCACCACCACCTGGGTGACACCGTCCTTGACCAACTGGCCGGCCGCGGTCGTGTCACACACAGCAAACTGGAGGACGCCCTGGACCATCTTCTTGAAGGCCACCTGTGCCCGCTCCTGAGAGGCCATGGCTGCTGAGGGATGCACCACCTGGGTGAGCACCTCCACAGCAGCCGGGCTCTCCTGGGCCTGTGGGAACATCTGGATCTCGGGGGCCTCAGGGTCGGCAGCCACATGGGAGACCTCCTGGCCGGGCAGCTGGATCAGCACGTCTTTGGGGGCAGGCCTGCCTTGCTCCTCGGGTCCAGCCCTGCCCTCCACCTCCCCTAATTCAGTGACCGCACAGAGCAACGCATCCAGGGCTGAGGATGCCTCGGGGGGAGCGACTCCCGCCTCTGAGAGGTTTAAAATCTCCTGCTTGGTCACCTGTTGTATCACAGTGCCACCTGGACTGAGGGACTCATCCATGCCGTGGCCTTCCATGGAGCCTCCCACGACGACCACCTGGGTGGCTCCATCAGCCAGCTGCTCGGGAAGGATGGGCCCGGGCACCACGCTGCCTACATGTGCCCCGCTCTGACTCGTGGCGATGACCTGGCCATCCTCTGTGATGTGTACCACCCGGGCCACCTGGCCGGCCATGGCCAGCGTCTGCAGCGTGGCGGCGGCCGTCTCCTCCACAGAGGGGTCCAGGGCAAACTCCCCGTCGTAGCCCTGGAAGATGATGACCTGCTGCACCTGCTCGGGGGGCGGCGCCGGCCTCCTGCTGCTTCTGAGGGGTTTCTCCTTGACAAGGGGCTCTTCTGCCAGGGCTGCCGCGGTGAAGGGGCTATCTGTCTCCACGAAGGTGGCTCCTTGTCCCTTCAGACGGCACTCGTAGGACTTGGAAACAATGCCTAAGGGAGACAGGGACCAGTTAGAGCCTGGACAAAGGACTCGTAGGCGTACAAGTAAGACACTGCTTCTGTAGAAGCGCTAAGCTCTCAGCAGAGACGCCGTGACCCCCTATTCCAAACTCTGAAGAGCTCTCTACAGTGCAAGCTTCGGCGGGGCCAGAGGCCTCCGTGGGCATCTGCAGGCAGGCTCTAGGCTTGAGGGCACACACAATTAATGCTGCCAGTGCACTTCTCCAGGGTGAGCTGTCCAATACAACTCTGCAGGGGTGAGTGCCTCTCCAGTGCCCAGGGAAGGAGGCTGGATACCTCCCCCTACCACCATCATTTCTTTTGTAACAATGCATTCGGTCATGGGTGCTAAGTAAAGTTCAGCAAACAGCCAGCAGCAGTATCTCCTAACCCAAAAGAAAATATTTTTTTAATGACCAAATATTATATATGGTATATTTGTTTATTCAGCAAAAAGAATGAAAGCCTCCCATATTAAATTTTTTAAAATGTCATCAATAAACACAGCTGTAAAAGTTTAATGCAATAAATACTTATTGAACATCGACGTTTCAGGCGCTCAACCCAGGCAGGCAGCCTGTGCGGTCATGTGAGTCGCCGTGTCCTGGCAGCATGCAGGGCGCTCTGCACGGTAATGGGCACCCGCAGACACGGGGTTCTGGCCACTCAGGGGCTGAGAGGGGAGTCTATACTGCAGAACTGGGTGGTGGGCTTCGAGGGGCTGGACTCAGCCTTCCTCCTCTCTGTCCATCTTTCGGACAGTGCCTGGGATGGGACAAGTAATCAGCAAAGATGTGTTTGCCGAATGCCTTGGATACAATGTTAAGGTGACAAGTACTGCACAGAGACAAAGAAGCCATACATTCAGGAAAGAATATTCAGGGAAAGATGTAAAAAAGAAACAACACTGGAGCCCTGTCTTCAGGACAAGATTCAAGCCATCTCCTGTGGGCTGGGAGGAGAAGTCCCAGACAGAAGCAGCGAGGCCCAGGCAGAGGCAGGAAGGCCGTGGGTCCCCACGGTGCTTCAAGGCCTCGGGGCAGTGGAAGGCTCCGGCTGTCAGGAGAATAGGTTGCTCATCTCAGAGCAGGTTGCCCAAGGCTTCCTCCACCCTGTGCTAAGGTACCTGGGCTATGGGCTGCAGAGAGGAGGAGTGTGCTGACTTTTCAGCAGGAAAACTACAGGACGGTAACAGAGGGTAAGAAATTTTGATCTGAAGTGCCAGCTCCAAATGCCTTAGTGAAAACACTGTGTGTAGAAGATACCATAAGCCCCTTGGTGCCCGGGCAGAGGCAATAAGGGGAGACCAGGAGAGAAAAGAGGGGGCGAGCAGGGACGAGAGTGAGGAGGGGAGAGCTGGAGCTGGATGCATCCCCTGGTCTGGGGCCATCTTGGGCCCTTCACCGTCTGCCCTTTGTCAATGGGATACCCAGCGCAGGCGGGCGGGGCACAGGGCTCAGGTGGGCAGTGGGATTCTGAAAGGCCTGGGCTGCTGCAGGAGCGCTGAGCCCATCTCAGAGCTCTCGGGCCAGGGGCTTCGGCTGCCATCTGTGCTGTACAAGGAAAACTCTGGCATGGTACAAGGACGGTGGGGACGGGAGGTGCTGCACGAGGGCACACGGCCAGGCGCACATCACACCTTCCTCAATGTCATTGGCGACTCAGGGCAATGCCTGCCGCTCCCTGCCTTGCTGGATAAAACAGGGCTGGAAATGGTAAACTTTATTTCATATAAAATAAATGGACTCATAAAAGAGACTTCCTGCTTTCTTCTTTAAATCCCAGTTTTCCACTGGTTTCTAACTGACTCCATCCCTCCTAAATAAGAGAATGATCGACAGGTGGCCCACAGCGAACATTTCCGTATTTCAACAGCAACCACATATTTGAGATATTCTGCTTTATTCTCCTTGAGGGGGTCAGTTTCTTAACGGCATCTTTTAACCTTAACAAAAGGGAAGAAAGGATTAAGAACTGTTAGAGATGATTTATCGCCAGGATCTCTTAAAAAGAGTCAACCATTTTGCTTATCGTGTTGGTGGTGTTCTGTAAGAAAGCGTTTCTTTCCACACCGAGTTCATTCTGAACACAGACCCCAGACAGGGCCTGTCTTCCAGTGGGTGCGTCTCACGCCGGATCAGCAGAAACTGTTAAATCACGTTTACCAAGAGGACATGTCCCAGCTCTTACTCAGGCTGGAGGAACACGGTCCTGGATTTGAAAGTATTAATTAACTGTTAAGTACTAATTAATGTATCTTCTTTCTCAGGCAACTCTGTAAAGTGTGAATCTTAGAAAGGGTATGGAATTTTAGGTCAAGAAAAGAGCTGCAGGGCCAGCCAGGACTAGCTCCACTACCAGGAGATCCGCCTGTGTACTCGCTCTGCACCCATGGAACCCTAGCATGAGCAGGTGCGGTCAGGCGAGTGAGCCGCAGGGGTGAGCCAGGCCTGGCCTCGCCCTCATGCACCAGGCAGAGGAAAGCACTGCGTCTTCAAGGTCAACTCACCCTTCCCAAAGAGGGGCCAAAATGTTCATGAGTCTAGCTGAACAAATTCCCTAATTATAGTGCACCCTGTTTTCTCATGGTTACCCCCAACCAAGGACAGAGAACAGCTGGGTAGCACTAAATGGGGCTGCTGGCTGGCCCCTCTGTATGCTTCGGGTACCAGGCACTTCCAGAACACGACTTCCTCTTCCTGAGGCTTGGTGGTAGCAGTCACAGGTATTCAACCTGTGGTACTCACGCTGTGTCAATGCCTGGAGACCTTCCAAAGGTCACGGGTGGTAAGTTTTGTGGGAGCCACTGCAGAGCCTTGGACAGGGTCTGCTTGGGCACGTGCCTGGGGACAGAGCTCCTGACTACCTGCCTTTCCCCCTCCTCCCACTTTGCAGAAAGAACCCACACCCATCCCCGCCTGATGCCTTGCCCTGAGGAAGATCAGAGTTTAAAAGCTAAGCTGAGATGAGGGTGGGCGTGCAGCTCCCGGGGCAGGGGTTGAATCGCTGCCTGTCTCACGGTTGTCTTGTAAACTTTGATCCTCCTATATCCTCTCCTCGGAGAGGTCAGAAGCCTCAAGAGGGTGGCGCCCACAGCTCCTGTATTCACGCTCCCTTTCCGCCTGAGCATAAGCTGGGCATGTGTGGCTGATCCCGTCAGTCTGCCATCTGCTAGGACCTCTAGATCTTTGCCTCCCGGACTTGCCAAATTCTTTCTCTGGTATGCTTGCAATTTCTCCCCAACCCCTACTTTTTCTACCCAGTGCCATCTTCACATGTCAACCTTGATTTGTTTGTTTCTGTTCATTCTCTAATTTTAATGTCATTTTTAGTCTAATTCAGAATTTGAAAACAAGGGAAATAAGGACACAAAAACAAAAAAGGCGCCTTCTGGTCATTCCCCCCACCCCCATTACTTTTAATTACAGAAAAGGACATACTGCCAGTACATTAAGAGACAGGAGGAACTACTATAGCTGGGAAAGAAAGAACAAACATCCTCTTCTTCGGTAGTCTCAGGAAGAAATGGTGCACGCTCGAGTCCGAGCAATTCTATTCTTTACTCTGTAACTGGACAGGAAATCTCTTGGGTGTAGAATTATCCTTTGAATCCCTTGCAGCACTGATAATTATGCTATTCTGAACTACTTACTGAATGTATTTGAATCCAGAGGTGGGTTAAGCCACTTCCAGACCATTAACGTAAACTAAATGGGTAAATACTGCTGTCAGTGTGGGGTGTGACGAAGCCTAGCAACATCAGCGTCCTCACCTCCGCGCACGCACAGGCCCAGCGAGTCCATCACAGTTCATAAATGCGAGCGCGGGTCCATCTTTTGATTCAGCAATTTAATAACTTCGAGTGCTGTCAGTACGGCTTTGAAAAATAGCACCTATAAAATGTAACAGCCTCAATCAGATTGAAAAAGATTCACCCACTGAAGATTCTTCCATTTCAACCATAATGAATTAATGTTGAGCTATGTAGAAGTTCAAGTGTCATTTAAACTAATGTGAGTCTTTTCTGTAACTTTCAACTCCAACTGGGCTATGACCAGGAATTTACTGGGCACATCAACCTCCATTTTTGAGCTCTTTCTGGTAAATATGAACCGTAAAGCTCACCAAATGCAAATGGTCAAATGGATACTGTGTTTGGAAAACAGGTACGTGGTACAGGTTGCATCCTTCACTGCTTAGTCACTGTTATGTCTCCAAAAATCGCGCAAAGCCTTAATGGGGCATGGATGCTCCATGTAGTATTTGTATTATGGTACCTTTAAAAAAGACAGTGTCAGACTTCAGTACAGTAACAGTAGCTAACCAGACAGTGCCTAAAATCATTCTTTTTTGGGTCTGTTTCCAATAGGGCGATAAGCAGCTTTGTGTAGAAGGCATAAGTGACATTAAAATGCAGCCTCGTGCCCGTCTACAAAGTCCTTACTTTCTCCCCGTTTACTTTTGCGAGGACAAGGATATTTTACTCCCTTCTCAGAGCCGAATGCATTGGAAGTTCACAGCTTGGATGGAATAAAAAGGTAGTTACTGGGGTGTCTGAGGATTTGCTTTTGGGGAGAGGGTTTTGAGTTCGGCTCACTGCTCTGGGCTGCCATTATGAAGCTGCCGCTCCTTCTGCGTGCTCGAAGCCAACATCTCCAGTGTGGAAAAACACAAGCTCCATGACGCCGGGGTGGAGGGGTGAAGCCGCACAGACTCCGCTCCCCAAAACTGTGCTGAGGGCTCTGTTCTGCTGGCTGGTGTGCTTCTGGGAAGCAGCACGGGGCTGCGTACCTGATGCCTTCCTCTGTGTGTGCTGCTCCTTCCTTACTGTCACCACTTTTTCCCACAGAATAAATACCTTACGCTTTTGTTAAGCTTACGTTTAATTAAAATGTACAGAATTTGTGCAGTAAACCCGAATGAAAAAAATAAAACAAGGGCCCCCTCTCTTGAAGGCATACGTTGTGAATGAAAAATGTCATTACAGACTA